TTGCTGAATGCGAGGTCCTTCTTGGAGGTCACTGCGGACAGCCGCATATCCGACCCTCCCATTGCTATCGTCATTGACTCAATGAGAGAAAAAAAACGAGACGAATGGACGGCGTTGCGAACATTTTTGTGGCACGAGTACCTTCACGAGGCATCGAATTTGCAGGCTTTGACACCCGAAAAGGTTCATTTTTCGTGGGTGACATGCAGGGATCTGGCAGGAAGTAAACTTGTGCATGCGGAATGCCCGCAACAGAACAATCACACGGACTGTGGTGTTTATGTGTGTTGTATCGCTACCACCGTAATACAATTTCTTGGAAGAACCTCGGCAAAGGATCTGACGGCCAAGGACGTACTGGAAGTTATCAAAAACTACAACGGTGAACGAAAGAACTGTTCGACAATTTCGCAAGTCGATGGTGGACCGGCTTGCTGCCTGTGCTGCAGTCACAAAGGGCAACGACACTTTAGCGGCTTCACAAGTAGCCACACCGTTGCAAAGCATAATAAACAAAAGAGAGAGGAACACTTTCATGGAATGAGATGTTGTCCAAGTCACCGAACGCGATGCGAGGAAAGTTGACTACTGCGGGCCAAAATGACATGAAATGTGGGATGTGCGGACATGATTGGCCCGCAGTAGCCAACCTTATCGCAATGATGGACGAGGCAACTATTCCGATGGTTTTCTTTCTAGATTTTTTTTTTCTTTCTTGATTATGCGATCTTCTGCCACCTGACAATACAAATGCAGTCACTCTGACGCACAAAGAGGTTGCTCATTTGCATGACTTCGCAATTTCAAATCTCTCTCTCTTCTTCTCTCTCTCTCTCTCTGCGTGACAAACAACATCACTGACGCACTTGTGGTTCTTATTCCACTTTGATGCATGTGGGAAAAAAGGGGTGATGGCTCCAAGGCCAAAATACGAGGATCTGTGCAGGTCTTTGAAAGCCGCGGGAAAGAAGGACAAGTTTCGGAAGAAATCGAGGGCCGAAAATAAGCAGTCGAAAGAGCATCGCAGAAGCGGCGCCGGCCCCTCTGCGAAAACGGAGCACAAGCGTAGCCGCAAATCCGGATCGAAAGTTACAGTCCCTTCGAGTGCACGGAAGATTTCAACGCTGAAAGAACGTAACGAGTCGCCCCCCTCGACCCCCGTCCGGGGAAAGCGCGGAAGAGGCGCCAAGAACCGTCCGCCAAGGGCCCCGAAAAAAAGATCGCGGGATGATAGAAGCGCGACTACGCACCGCAGAACAAAGAAGAGAATATCCTATAAAGACGACAGAACAGTGGAGACAATCGATATTAGAGGGTCTGACGACAGGCACAGCGGACCCCAAGTGGAAGAAAAGGAGGAACACGACCGTTCCGCGCCAGAGAAGTCAGATGGTGCGGAGGACGAGGAGCCAGAAAACGAGGGAGACGACAACGATTCTTCCCGCAGACAATCGCAAGACACCGATGAGAACGACGACAGCGACGGCAAGTCGGCCAGCGAGAGAACCGGCGAAGACCAGAGCGCCGCTTCGGAAAGAGGTGATTCGCCATTTCCTTCGAGGACGCTGCGCAGAGAAGGAGAACGGCAGGCGCGCAATGGCAGCGACACCGAGGAGTGTGTCGGTGACAGACAAATCGTACAGCACGTCAGCGCCGCCGAAAAAGGTAAAAAAACCCGCGCCGCACTGACTCCCCTCCCACTCCGATCACATAATCCCGTGCCCCCACGCGGTGCACGCCTTTACGCACGGAGAAGTGTCTTTGTAAACGCACAGCTGATAGCCGAATCTTCAATTTTGCAAGTGCTGTATTCAAAACAAGGCGCTGAGTTGTTAACACTCTCCTGTGCGTTGTGTCTTCTGTTTTCCACCGATCGCAATGTCACGAACGAAAGTGCGCGCAAGCGGCGGAGCCGTGCAAGGACCAAAGGATGAGGGCGCCGCATTCGCGAAGAAAATGAAGGGCAAGCTGTTGCGTTCCGTCGCCAAAACCTTTGCGCTCTCTGCGGCAAACGACGCAACTCTGTACCCGACAGAGGATGCGTTTTTCACGGCGGTGCAAGCGACGGTGAAACTGGCAGGGGAGACAGCAGAGGAAGGGCTGCGGTCTCACATAGCAGAGTGCGGGATTCGATCTGTCATAGGGGAATGAAACAGAATAATGACGACGATCCGCGGAGAGATTACATGGCAGCTGAAACATTGGTTTTTGGCTGAAAAAGGGATTCCGCTCGTCGGATCGCAGCAAACGGACCACCACCTCCTCGCAACAAGATGCGCACCGAAATGAAGGAGAACAAGACGTGGAGACGGAGCGGCGACGATCCGTGGGGCACCCCCGCCTTCAAGATGGCACTCTTAAAAGTTTTTCAGATGAGGAAGGAAGGCCGGAACCAGGGCGTCACCCGCAGCAACTGGCTTTTGCGGAGATGGTCATTCAATGTGAGATAGAACAGACAACAAAGACGACACGAGCTGCGGAGCAGATAGAAAAATTGGTATCTATAAAGCA